AAAATGTCAAAACACCAGTTTTCGCACCAGTTAGTATGCAATTATCTGATAATTTGCACTAGTGCAAATTATCGCGTAATTACAATCTGATTGGTTCAAATCAACAATCAAAACATGTCAATTTATTGTTGGAATACCAGTTTTGACAGATGTATGAAAATCTCACAAATATTTCGGACTTTACTAAATTTAAATGTCAAAAAGATTTTGATTTCGAATTTTGTAAATTTTCAATTGCTAAAATCATTTCAAATTCTAATAGTGGTGTTGAAAAAGCTAGGATTATTGCTTTGCAGGAAGAGGAAAGTGGTGCTTGGCTGAATGCTTCACCCTCTCCGAATCTCGGTAATTTGTTAGATGACGCGACGTTGGTCAACCTGTGTGCATGCCACACATCTGCACTTGCAACAACCAAGTTGATAAATTTGGGCTTCAAACCCTGTGTTGCAAAAAAAAGTGCAGGTCGGGTGACCCGTCACAGGTTGATCAATGATATAATAAAGCGCTCGTTAGCATCAGCAGATATTCCTTCCATACTAGAGCCACCTGGTATATGTATAAGTGATGTCAAACGTGTGGATGGAATGTCTCTGTTGCCTTGGAAGAGTGGTGAAGCATTACTTTGGGATGCCCCATGCCGAGATATTTGTGTCAAACTTACTTATCAAAGACATCGATTAAGGCTGGTGAAGCAGCAAGAATTGGGGAATCCCAAAAAAATGCTCAAATATAAAGAACTGCTGGACCGAGGTTTTCTTTTTGTTCCTTTTGCGGTGGAAACTTTCGGACCTTGGGGTAATGAAGCTAAAAGATTAATTAAACAAATTTGTCAGAAAATCAATCATAAAAAGACATTTAGCGTCATTACCCAAAAAATTAGTCTAGCAGTACAAAGGGGAAATGCAGCGTCAGTGCTTGGGACCCTTCCAGTAGGACCTGGTTTGGAGGAAATTTTTTATATTTGATGTTTTGTTTTTATATTTTATATTTTATATTTTGTTATTTTATATTTAGTATTTGTTTGGAACATCTACATAACAGTATTTTTTTATAGTTGTATTGCATCTTGTATAATAATTTCAAATGTTTCAAATTTGTACAAAAAAAAAAAACAACAAAAACACTTCAGGTTTTTATAGGTAGGTTAACGTATTTCGTTTCCTAGGTATTATGGATCTAAAATAGTTGAGTAGAAAATAAAATAATATCAATCAGTTGAACTAGGTGAATATAGGTGTTGGAATGCGGCCAGGTAATATGGAATTACCAATCCTACACTCGGCCATCCTGCTCAGAATCCGACTCGGATTCGTCGCTGTTATATCCGATCCACCGTTTCGGATGGGTCCTCTTTTGACATCATAGCAGTCATTTGCACAATTTCATAGGATCCCAAAAACTTCCGTTTTAATTTGATTCTAGGATCAAACTGCGTTCTTTTAATTGCCTTTCTTTTTCGTTATACGTTGTAGCCTTTTTTCTCCCCTTTTTTCTTCTTAAATTATATCCTTTTTTGTTTTCACCTTGTACTTTTCTAATATTTTCCACACTTTTCTCTCGCATCTCTAATCTCTCTTCCTTGAAAATCTTTATTGTTTTTTTTTTCTATTACCTACCTCTTTCATTTGTCTTTGACGCTCTTCGTGTTTTACTGTCACATCTTGAAGGGTTTTTTTTCAGGATGCGTCGCATGTCTTCTACTTGTTTTTTTGTAGAGTTGCAACAGTTTGGCTTTCAAGAGGTTCCGCTGCAATGGGCTCTACAGCTACAGCTGGCACTTCTACAGACTCTATAATTGGACCTACAGTCGCCGTATTCAAGTCGACAGTTGGCAAATCTGACCTAATTAGTTGTGATTCAAGTTGACGCTCTGACTTTTTGTATATCATTGTCCCTTCTCCATTAATGTGTACAATAGCTTGCCTTAAGATATTGTTTCCATGTATAGCTTCGAAAAAAGTAGATAATTTGGGGATAACATGGTAACATCGTAAAAGATCCCAATTTTTTTATTTTTGCGCTTTCTCCAAGTCCTTTCAATACTAAAAATTCGGATGTTAATTCAATATCTGAAAAATGTTCAATCCTACACGTCTTTCCTCATCATACAGGCATCGCTTCCAGTGTCAAATAAAGCAGTGCATATAAATCCATTAATTGTAAGCTTGAGGGTGTTTTTTCGTTCAGTTTCAGACATCACAATAACGCTTGAACTCCCTGCGCTACTATTTGCTTGATTTCTATTTGAACATTTACTGGAAACATGTCGATACTCATTGCAGTTGAAACACTTCGTTCCTTTTGATTTATCAAAACAAGCAATCGATTTATGACCCTGACACCCACAATTGAAGCAAGTGATTTTTTGTCTTCTCTAAAATCATGATTCTCTTTCTTAACTACTGTATATACTATCTCCATTCATTTTAAAATACTCGTTCTTCATTCTACATGGTTGTTCGTGTACATTGGCCTTTCTCTGAATTCGTTCATAGAACTTAATTTTTTCTTTCAGATCATCGAAATCTTTAGCTCCGTACAACACAATCTTATTTGACGAATCGTCTTGAATTCCATCAATTATATATTCTATCACCACTTCCGGCTCTATGTACACGCGACTTGCCATTTCTTTCATCTTAATCATATACTCTTGCACAGTTTCATCATATGTATTTCTTCTTGTTGATAGCATTTTATGTATCTGCGCACTGTGGACGCTAACTCGAAATTGTTCAATGAGTTTTTGCTTTAGGGTTGACCAATTTCTTATTGCTTTTTCAGATTGTACGAAAAGTTTTGCTTGTGTTGTTCTTTGCGTGAATCCACCTCTGGAGTTCGTTCCATCCAGTGAATTGTGTCACTTTTTCGAATTCCATAATCCACATCTAGATAGGATATTCATCTTTCCCATCGAAAGATCTAATGCTGTCTTCCATATGTCGAAAACCTAATGCAAATTAGTCTTGTTCTTTATTTAACATCGTATAAAAATAGCGATAACCTCCATCGTCGTCTTCTCGTCGCAATCTTCCTTTATCTAGGCATCGCCTAAATTCTTGTTCTCGCCTATGGCCTTGTCTTTTCCTCTTTTTTCATCTGCGCCTTTGTCTTCTTCGTCTTTTTGTCTTTCTCCATATGCACGTCTATCTTCTTCGTATTTCCATCTTTCTTCATATGCACGTCTATCTTCTTCGTCTTTTCGTCTTTCTTCAATTCTGCGCTTCTTCTCTTCGTCTTTCTGTTTTTCTCATAGTAATTTTTTTCTAATTTCTTGCATCTTTCTTTTGCACGTGCTTCATCTTCACGTCTTTCGCTTTCACGTCTGTTATCTTCACGTCTTTCGTCTTCACGTCTTTTGTCATCACATTTTTCGTCCTCACGTCTTTCGTCTTCACGTCTTTCATCATCACGTCTTTCGTCATCACGTCCACGTCTTTCGTCTTCACGTCCTTCATCTTCATTCTCCTAATGCGAGCTATCGTCGTCTGATTCATCCGCTTCGTCTTCTTCTCCTTCATCATCGTCGTTTGGAGAGAAAAAGGTTATCAAAAATGAACAAATCCTACAAACCACATCTTTTTTTTTTTCGTTTGTATAATTTAACCCTAATATTTGACAGACTGCGATTGAATCAGAAAGCTTAAAACTCCTAAAAATGACGTTCCAAGTGCATGACGCATTTGCCTAGTCCAAGAAGCACGTGTCTTTCATGATTTGTTTATAGTTGAACGAATCTCAAAATTCGTTATTTTTGAATTTGGTTTCTTAAAAATATTATCCGTTCAGCGAAATCGTAGGTCGAATTGAAAATTGATCATCGTATTACTCAAGTATATATTTAACAAAAATTTACATAGATTTGACAATAGTTCAACAAGCACCAACATTATACCAATACCTATGTATTCATTTTTGAGTTTCATTCTATTAAAGTATATATTGTCCTGCGAAATTGTATGCCCATAATGAAACCATCATTTGGCAGTTTCCACTTTGTAACAAGAAAAAACTACGAAACAAAAAGTTATTCAAAAAATACGATTTGCTATGGAAAAGACTCTACATTAAAGAAAATTTGTTAAGAGTATTATATTTTAAAATTTCGGTGATATCAATTTGATGCGTAAAATTGCAAATATTTCTCAATATTTATTTTTAAATGGCTTGATCGTTTTATGGCTGTGCCGTTATCAGGCGGGCGTTAACCAGGTTTTTCCGAATATTCATAAAGGTCGTTATTTGCTTTACATAACGTAGGCCAAGATTAAAAGATGACGATACATAATTCTTGATAAGCCCTTCCCCTGTTTCACCCAGAAATTGTAAGTACACGGGGGAGTTAATCCTGACGAAAGCAACCCTAATCCATTTAATCCTCAAAATAGATATAGGTATGTGTGTTACTGTTAAATATCACACCAAACTGATTCATAAAACAGTTTAGATATTAAGCTAATGGCATCGGTAAGTGGAATGAACAATTTACTTTTTTTAATTTGAAAAATTTATTCGAAATACTTAAGCTTGGTCAATTATTGAAATGTAGATAATAATATAATTTTGTCATGACTTTGCGAACGAAACTCGGTAGAATTTCCGGTTTTTCTGCTTGTCAGGGATTTCATTACTATTTGCCAGAAGTAGGTATTGCAGCGCCAGCAAAAGGATTTAATATTAGTAGAGCTCCAGTGGTAAGAATATCGCTGCCAAGCTAAGAACATCTCACAAACTTTATTTTCTTGGAAAATCCGCTGACTTAAGATGACAGATATTTTATCATTAGGTACCTACTTTAGAAACATTTTAAAGCTAAAAATTACATTTTTGTTTTTTTTTTTGCTTTCCGAATAAAATCAATTTTTGGTATTTTATAGTTTTTATATTTGAAATCATATTTTCTATAAATTTTTTAAAATTTATATTCCAATTCAAACATTAAACCGTGTTCGCCTTTTATATTTCATGATTTTTACCAATACTATTTTTTTTTGTTTTAGGTCAATAACTAGTTACAAAGATGAAACTCCTGCTGCTAGCCTTGCTCTCTTTGTCCACATTCAACTATGCTGTAGCTCAAGATGAACAACAAGACGTAATCGACCAAGATTACTTAGTTCAGCTTCTCTTTAGTATATCCGAAGCTAGATTACCGAACTACCTGGTAGATGTTATCTATAATCGCCCAGTTCAAAAAGGCATTTCAGTAGACGCTGTTCTAGGATTATATCAAATCCGAAATGTCAGCCTCAATACTACACAGAGTATCTTAAACGAACTTGATATAACTCAATCGCGAGTCTTCAGTATTAATGGCTTTAATTACACTTTAGAAACATTCAATTGGACATTTACTAATTTTTATAACACTCTAGTCAGTAGGATCAACTTATCAGGACTTCCCTTAAGGAATGCATTGAGACAGCTTAACATAGACGACGCTCAATTTTCAGCTGGAATTGCTTATGGCGATCCTGATCCTTGGCAGGAGTTTATTAGAGGAAATTTCACTCAAGTTAACATGGAATTAGCTTGCGCAGAGGCTGGTATAACTTTAGAACAGCTTTGGCAAGGAGTCAGAGATTTATTTATTTTAAACTTGGAAACTTTTCAGATAGAAGATTTTATAAGACTTTTATTAAATCACGACATTACTCAGCGTCATGCTTTAATTATTTGGAGTGCTATACCGGTTACTTTGGAACATGTATACAGTTTACATTTATATAATGACATTATTGGTAATTTTAGTGAGAGACTCAATAACCAAACATCTCTTGGAGTTATAACAAGTTTACAAGGCATGGTTACACATAGGGCAATTCATGATTTATTTAAAGAAGAAAGGGAACTTCTGATTATCCAAGCACAGACGTTGCTTACAAGGACAATATTGACAGTTGGGAATATAAATGACACTATATACAGAAATTTGGTCGTGCTTGAACTTAGTCAGGATGTTTCTCCCAATCTAACAGTCATCCCAGTTACGAATCGCAACGCAGATGTGACTAATTGCGACTATGTCACTTTCCAAAATAACAATATACTGACTGTGAATGTACCAACTGCTAATTTTACCAACGAAACCTACGTTATTCCAACATCTGTTATAAATAACGTTGTACCTGGCAGTGCGTTGGTTTGCAACCAAACAGTCCATGCATTAGTTAGGGGAGTTGTAGGGGATGCTATTGTGGCAGATGCCTTCTCAAATTATGTAGTACCTGCTCCGCCTAGTTCTGGAAATAGTTTGTTGGCTGGAATTCATATAATAGTAACTGTTCTTTTTATGATGTTAATAATTTAAATAGGAAAATGAAAGAAGATTTATTTTGGAAAGTTTCACGAATCATAAATAATATATTTTCATTGTAAAATTTAAAAAATACTGTCATTGTGACTTGAGTAAATATATAAGTATATTGTGAACAGATTATAATAATGTAAATATAGGAATAAAACCTAACAGTTATGAGCAGTATTATTTAAATATGTAGGATTTGTGCAAAAAATTAATATGAAATTATCTGCAGAGAAATATAGTCAACCATTTGCGTGTAGAGTAATGTGTTTTGTTTCATTAGGTAATAATAATGACATTAAGCCATAAAGCCTCGAACATTATTACCTACCAATACCGGCTATAAATAAAGCAGCTTTGATTATTACTACATGTTTATGTTATGTAAATTTGGTATCAAAATAATAAATAATTGCTTGTAAAATGGAATTTCGGCCGTTTCCAGCAAAACCAAAATATTAAAAAAAAATACATATTTGGGTTCGTAGGAAGATAAGTGAGAATTCCCTTCAAAATTAATATACTATTTTTCAAGATAATAACACCAAAATCACGGGAAAACAAGCACGTTTATTAATTACAATAAAGGCAGACAATACTGAATCACAACTCACTCTCATACTATCGACTTGCGTGTCACTAATTATCCAATCAACTAATTCGCGTTTAATCTACTGATTCTTGATACACTGCTATCTAATTTATCACTGGCTGACTTCCCACAAAGGCCGACACCGTTTTATAGCGCGTCATTCTTTCTAGAGTTGTCTAGTTAATTCGCTTTCGTGTATTTCGAATTAGCTGGACGGTGCGCGGTGAGATTTTATTGCAATATTTAACACACTTTCCCCAACTTGACAGATTTACAGCTTCGCCTGATCACATCCTAGTCGGAATATTCTCGCTTGTGTATGGGGTCAGTCGCCTCACTACGTGCACAACCTTTGGCTTGGCTTTTGGTGAGAAAGTTGAATCCTCTACACCAAGTAGTTGATTTCCCCAACGATCCTGTATGGCCCTTCCCAGTGCCTTTGTGATTTCGTGCTTAGCCCCTTTCTTCCCTGTGGCTGATAGAATCAGACGCCATCGCCTTTATCAACGGTGATCAATATGGGCCGCATGTCGAGTCTCATTCTTTCGCTGCTCAGACGTATTTTGTCTTGGAGATCGGCCACGTAAGCTGGAAGTCCAAATTTATCCCCATCGTCTGGTGGTGTAACAAACATCAATCCTACAGAGAGCTTTATTCTTTTCCAGTCAACAGCATCGATGGTGTATAACCGGTATGATGAAAAATAGCAAATTATTTGAATTTTGCGCCATATTTTGCACCAATCAAAAATCAGTGTTGCCAAATTTTCATGTTCCAAACGAATCTTTATTTTCCTTCTCTAACACATGTAACAAAAAAGGAGGCTTAAAAAGTGTATCAGGTTTAATTACAAAAATTTTAACATGTTAAAATATGGCCCATTTTAAACAAAAAAAGTTTTACAACATGGGGTTCAAACTCAACCATTTTCAAGAAAAAGGCCTTTGAAGTTTTGACATTTTTTGACGAATATTTGAAAGATAAAGAAAATTTTAATCATTATGATATGTAAAAAAATTATTTCATTTAATTATTAACTAAATATGCATTATTAGTCAACAACAATAATAAAAAATCGAAAAAGCAACATGACAATTTCACTTATAATTCGGTATCTAAACATATGGCAACATTGCACACAAAAAAAATGGATGGTTGAACTGATTACTTGATTCTTTGTCTTGACATGTCAGTTAGTTGAAGTTTTGGAAACGCACGTAATTCATACTTTATTGATAATAAAATGTTTACAAACGTCGATAGTTGTGTAGGCAAATCAGTGGCGACGCAGAGTTACTTACTTTTTTCTTTCAAATTTAACTTTATAGAACCCTTTTTAAGGGTTTTATGTTAGGGAGGGCCAGACTGGGCCAGAAAAATGTAGGGGGCACTTGTTTTTACATGCTTTGCTATTTGGTATCCTATTTAGATCAATTTATGCCAAGAAAATTAGGCCTGGTAATAAGAAGCACAGTAGGAGCAGATTTAGGTAATCAACATTAACTTCAATTACATACTTACATTGAAACGTTACAAAAAAAAAAACATAAACGCATTCTTTCCTTCTTCGGAATAAAATATCGAAACTACCTGCCCTACCAATACTACAGTTTCTTATGTACCAAAGGGCGCAATAAGGGTGTTTGCGGCCCGATACGGGAAAATTTGAGTACAAGGCGCAGCCGATAGCTTTAACCACGCGAAGGGCCTCAAACACTATTTGCGCCTGAATTAGGTATTATGAAATTCCGAAATTCCAGAAGTTAACATTTAGTTATTTTATTTGTCAATATAGTTTTAAAATACCCGCCCTAAGTAAGTAGAGTAATTAGAAATTAATTAGTCGAGTGGGTGTGGTGCTGCTACTCGAATGTACCAATTGCAGATTGCAGAGCAATCAACATGATATCTTCGATGTCGGTTTTTTTCATACGACTTTTGGCATCAGGGCAACTTTTCAGGAGGGGCGGTTAAATTTCATTGGGAGCCTCGGCCCACTCTGGCTCCCCCTGGCGTCGCCACTGGGCAAAATCGGTGAAAAATGCTCATTTAGCCGCCAGAATTTACAGGGGAGGATTTCCCACTAGAACGACGCCCATGAAAGAACATTGTGTCACATGTACAAAGATTGTGCGATACGGGAAGTGTGAGTGTGCAAAATCTACGTGTTGATTTTAGAGTTGATTTTCAGTGTTTTAGGAACCTTCGAGGAAACCTTTTAACAAAAATTAATATTTTCATAATAAGGATTTGGCAAGTAGCTGAGTAAATATAATTTAATTTTTCTCTTGAATGTTTAGTGCAAAAATGTCATTGAGTGCAATTCACAGTTTAATAAAACGGCACATTTTTAATTTTTATTAGAATCTATCTAATAAAATAAATATAGTTTAAAAAAACTAAAAAACACGCTTTTATAGTAAATTGAACTAAAAAATGAAAAATAATTTTTAATATAAACAGAAAATATTAATGAACAAAAAATATTAGAATTATTGTGAGAAAAGCGTGGGGTGCTTTGTTCCACATTTCTCGTACATTGAGCACCCCACGTTTTTTTCACAATAATTCTAATATTTTTTGTTCATTAACATTTTCTGTTTATATTTAATAGTATATTGTTGTATTAGGAGTAGAAGCTTTACTTTTTTGTGCTGAAGCAGTAGGTTTGCGAGCCGAACGTAGTGAGGCTTGCAATGCTGCTGAAGCACAAAAAAGTGCTTCTACTCCGTATGCAACACGCTATTTTTTCTCCAAACAAATGGGGTAAGCTCGGGGTAACTGAATGGTTAAGCGGCAGTAAAAGTACGAGCGGCACTAAAAGTACTTTTGCTGCCGCTGGGGTTGCCAAGCTGCATAGAAATTAAATTTCTACCACCTCGACAGGTGTTAACCTGCTCGATTTGTCTACCAGCATAGAAATTAAATTTCTGACATCTTGATAGAGGTTAACAAAGTGGCATTTTTTTGACGTTTGAAGAAAAAATTATTTTTCACTTTTTAGTTCAATTTACTATAAAAGCGTGTTTTTTAGTTTTTTTTAAACTATATTTATTTTTCACTTTTTAGTTCGATGTATTATTTTGTTATTCATTTTTTTATTTTGAAGAAAAAACTTTAATTCTTAAAGTTTGTTTTTTATTTGAAGATAATTCCCCAAGTCAAAAATTTAGTAACTATGTTGGCAACACAAGCCTTTTCTACATAAAAAATTTGAAAGCATTGACAATTTTACATTGTGTTGCCAACATAATGTCATTTTGACTTTTATCTTAAAAAAAAAAACAGACTTCATTTGTCTTTTGTTTATATTTTATGGGATTATTGAGATTATGGGAGAAATGGTTGATATTGTTGACATAAAGACACAATCAAAAAATTATGGTGTGACCGGTGCGACACCTGGAGTGTGCCCGAAGTACTTTTTGAACGGCACAGAGTATCACACTCACACTGAGTGTGTCATTCTTGAATTCGCCCCAGAGATTTCCACACTTTTGCAGACATTATTCAGAACTTTCCAGAGTTTTCCAGATTTATCCAGACTTGTACAGACTGATCCGGATTCTGGAAAGTGATCCCAAGGTCTTTTGGGACCTTTTCCAGAATTTTTCCGACCCTTTCAAGAAGTTTATAGGCATTTTCCAGACGTTTCCAGAGATTTCCAGAGTTTTCCAGACAATATCCAGACTTATCCAGAGTTTTACAGACTTCATCCAGATTTATCCAGCCCTTATCCAGACTTGTACAGACTGCTTCAAATTCTAGAAAATGATCCCCAGGTCTATTGGGACCTTTTACAGAATTTTTCCGACCCTTTCAAGAAGTTTCCAGGCCTTTTTCCAGACGTTTCCAGAGATTATCCATACTTATCCAGAGCTTTCCAGAGTTTTCCAGACTTCATCCAGATTTATCCAGACTTGTTCATACTGATCCGGATTCTAGAAAATGATCCCCAGGTCTATTAGGACCTTTTCCAGAATTTTTCCGACCCTTTCCAGAAATTTTCAAGTCTTTTCCAGACGTTTTCAGAGATTTCCAGAATTTTACAGACAATATCCAGACTTATCCAAAGTTTTACAGACTTTATCCAGATTTATCCAGACCTTATCCAGTCTTGTACAGACTGATCCGGATTCTGGAGAATGACCCCCAGGTCTTTTGGGACCTTTAGCAGAATTTTTCCGACCCTTTCCAGAAATTTCCAGGCTCTTTCCAGACGTTTCCAGAGATTTCCAGACTTATCCGGACATTTTCCAGACTTTTCCAGGCTTTATCCAGACTTTATCCAGACTGCTCCAGACCTTATCCAGTCCTTTCCTGACCTCCCTGGACTTCTTCCAAACACTTGCCCGACTTGTTCCAGCTCACTTGGCTTGTTCCAAGTTCTTGTTCATACACTTCCCAAGAGTCCAAAAGTTCGCACGCATTCCTATGTGCCCATGCGATAAACATTTTCAATGTTACTTACAAACTTACAAACTTACAAACATACAAACATACAAACATACAGGTGAAGCTAATATAAGCGTGTTAAAAATGAAAAATGTGATAGATTTTCATTCACGGACAAGCCATTTTACAGTTTACAATGTACAAATATAAATAAAGTATAAATAAATATGCAATATATATACTACACTAGTTACTTAAATTATAAAAGTTTGGTAGGTATGGTAGTAGGTTGTATAAATATATTGCATTTTGACATAGCTACCTACATTAATTAGATTATAATGATTATTTCATTCATTATAAAATA